GTTAGACCTTTCTGCTTGGTCGCTTTGTTCTGGCTGTCTCTACCTCTTTCATTTTACTTTTCTTGATTTCTGCAAACTTTTTCCGGGAATCCTGGTCCCAAGATTCTCCTGCCTTACCATTAATGACTATAAATGCTGCTTAAAGTTGCAGCCCTGTGAGATTAGACCTTCTAGTCTCTGTTGATCATTTGTAATCCTTTCTGATTCAATGCCATCAGACAGGAAGGCTATTTTAAATTGGCCAAGAAAAATCTGAGCTCTCACTTGACTTTTCCTATTAAAAAACCTCTGTTTTTCTCCCTTGTAAACTGGAAATGGGTTTGCCTGGCATACAAAGAAATTACTACAATGAGCATTTAAAATACTTGCTTGTGGACTGAGAAGCTCAAGGAACACTATCTAGCAGTATGTGATTTTAAGATGCAGTGAATGCTCCTTTGGTTTATTGACTAATTGACTACAACATCACAGTGAGGCCTCCCTGTATTAGCACTGACTAGGTTTTCATTTCTGTCCTACCTGAAAATTTAGAGTAATGTTAACAAGAATCGGAAAATGAATTTTTCTAAGGCTTTAACTTTCTCTACAATTTCAAGATCCATATAGCTTATAGCAATTGTAAATTATTATTGTATTTCCAAAGCACTAGGAATGATTAACTTTGAAAATTACCAGTAGGATATTAGAAGATCTTATGACAATTTACACGTGTTATACCACAGAGATGTCTGTGTCTGCTAACTGGCTTTATTCGATTAATTATGTCTTTTAAAAGAATGCTAAGCTTGGTTACTAACAATGTTATGGATGCATTTGTTTGACACCAAGTGTCTTATTTGAATCATAGCAGGTGGACTGCCTTAACTGCTGAAACATTGTCATTTGGGATTTTTGTAAAATTAGGAATTAACAGATGATTGGACTGCAAGAAGCTCAAGGGTGGATATTTCTATCTTAATTGTACTTCATTCTCCAAACTTCCTGATGGTATAAGCCATCAACAGTCAATCAGCACCATGACGCCATCCCTCCCTCTGCCTGTTTTCTGAGACCATCAATATATTAAGACAGAGAATAGGAAAGGAAAATATAGGCAGCGGCCTCACTAAGCTTGACCAGTTTTAGCATTAGGATGGACTGTGGTTCTCAGAGATGAGTACTACCTGTGAGTAACAGGAACTACAGGTCCAACGTGCATCTGTTTACATGTTTTCCAGTCGGAATGAAATGAGAAATCTGTGCTCACCTCCATGTGGCTATTTGATGAATGAAGAATGGGCAGGCTGCCAACTGTGTTTCCCAATCCTACGACATCTTCCCTATGGATAGTTCATGATTTTGAAAATGGATAGATCAGTAGTTTTAATTTTAAGTGGCAACACTGTTTTTTCCCTTTTGTATATTAATGAGTGTTTTGTTGGAAATTGCAAGATTTCTATCCAGATGTCATTGGAAACTATAAGTGGAAATGTGGATTTTTTTAGCATCACTTTTATTGCCTATCAAACAACCCCTGGAAAACAGATGAGAAAAGCATACCTTGTAAAAATAAATGTAAAGACTAGATAATGATCTACAGTATACAGTAGCAAGGTATATCTTTGACATCCTCACATTTTTAGTGAGTGATGTGTGTGTGTGCGTGCGTGCGTGCGTGCGTGCGTGCGTGCGTGTGTGTGTGTGTAAGTGTGCTCATTGGGCAGCCTTTACAGTCTCACTTGTTTTTCCTCTGTGATGAGACGTGCAGTCATGCATCTACATGTTTGTCGGGAAGCTGCCAAGTGCTCCATTCACTGAGATTATTTACTAAATATGCTGCTTCATAGAAAATCAAATAATCCTACACTTCCTTTTTAAAAAGTGGCTATGTTGCAAAATCACAAGTAACTGAGGAAAATGAATTCTTTCTTCAGTAAGTGGGCAAAATTCAGCCACAAAATTTCCTTTTTAATAAAGGAAATTCTAAGGGACAACATCGATATTTTTTTCTCAAAAAGCATAAATTATCAAAATGCAAAATATCTTTTATTGTGAAATTTTTGCTATGAGCAAAATCTTAAATAAATAAAGGAACCTGTAAATTCAATTAGGATAGAAATACTGGTGGGCAGTGGTAGCACACTCCTTTAAACCCAGCACTCGGGAGGCAGAGGCAGGCAGATCTCTGTGAGTTTGAGGCCAGCCTGGTCTACAGAGTGAGATCCAGGACAGGCTCTCCAAAGCTACACAGAGAAACTCTGTCTCTAAAAATTAAAAAAAAAAAAAGAAATTTAAAAAAAGAAAGAAAAAAGAAAAAAAGAAAAAGTTAGAAATACCAAATCTTTTTTTTCATGTTTCTTTTTTTTTTATTTTACAACACCATTCAGTTCAACATAATAGCCAGATTCCCCTGTTCTCCCCCTCTCGCCCCTCTCCCCCTCCCCCCAGCCCACCCCCCATTCCCACCTCCTCCAGATCAAGGTCTCCCCCGAGGACCGGAATCGACCTGGTAGACTCAGTC